TACAAATGTTTTTTCCCATTTTATTTCAAATTTTTTACTGTTTTTTATCATATTTTTACTTTTTTTTGTTATTTTTTCCCACAATTTTCCCTCTTTTTGCCAAAAGCATGAATAATTGTAAGAATTATAGAAATTTCTTTAAGCTGTGTTGCAGCTTTTTCACTTTTTTTATCATTTTTTAATTTTTTGATCGTTCCTTCGCTGCTTTTTTTTTCGCCGTTTTTCTCTTTTTTTTCTAAATTAAGAGAATTTGGGTTACAGTTTCAGCTCTCATCCATTTATTGACGTGTGTAACACATTTTAGGATGAAGCAGAACGGAAACTGGAAACCGAAATGCAAAAACGACGTGAACGAATCGAAAAATGGCGTTTGGAACGGAAAAAACACGAAGAAAATGAGGAAGCGGGGGAGGGAGGAAGCGAACAGCCGCAGCAGCAGCAACAACAACAGCAGCAGGAGAAGAAATGGACCCTCGATAATGAGGAAGAAGACGAGGAGGGCACTCCTGTAGAAGCAGAAAAGTAATTCTTACTAATATAATATTATTACTATATACCCGTGGATAATGGAATGGCATCCGCGCACAGTCAAGCGAACACTGAGGAGGCCGCCAGTGAGGTGGAGAGAACCCATGGTACGCCCTGTACGGTATCGCGTGGACTCGGAGAGTGCAACAACGAATCGAATGGAGAAGTTGCCAGTGTTGCATCGATGGCAGTGACAAGGATGGATGTCGATGACATACAGCTGCTTAAGTATTCAAATATATCCAGGGGTTGGTAGCCTCAAGGGAATAAATGGCCATTGAAAAAATATCTACTAGGGTAGACTCGAAAGAGGTGTTTTAAGCTCATATTAGTGTTCCTGCTGTTGGCATTTGCTACCACTTGGGCTACTTTCGAGTGCTTTCGCCTTTCGAAGGGGGAAACGAAGTTTAGAGGCGGGGGGAGTAATTTTTTGATTCGTGGACCGTTCTGTGAATTGAATTATGGCCGAACAATGTAGTATGAATGTTTGTGGCCTTGTGAAAAATGTTATTGTTGCAGGCATACCATACATTATTCCTTCCGGCGTACCTGATCTGGCATGCCTCCCTCCACCCGCATCCCCCTCCTCCTTTTCACCCCCCACCCCCGCCAGCCGACCCCCTCCGACGTATATGTTCCGCTGTATGTAGGATTCGGGTGTTTTTGCATCAAAAACCCAGAATTTTTGATTAAATTCAGGCATATTTCTAAGCTAAAAGTTTTGGAATGTTCACATCAATGTGCATAACATTTTGAAGTTACATATAGATAACTTTTCTGCATTAATTTACAAAAGGCAGTCAGTATATAGATAACGTTTTCTCCATAAATTCCACAAAAAAGCGGTGAATTTGCAGGAAAGAACAACCGACAAATGATGAGGCGGACGATGAGATCGACCCACTGGATGCATTCATGTCTGAGGTCAATAAGGAAGTGCGAGCAACGAAGTATGGCTCTGATCAGGTATGGGTATTTTCCAGTCTTTAAAAAAATCATTAACAGAAATTTTCTTTTAAATGTTCCCGTTATGCTTGTTTCTGCTAGTACAGCTTATCCGAATGCTTTTGTTTCATTACGAGTGGAACAGAGGAGGTTTTTAGCTGTACAAAAATTTTCCTTTGAATATTCCCATTTGTTGTAGTGCTTGCTTCTGCTAGTCCAGCTTATCCGAGTGCTTTTGTCTCATAACGAGTGAAACAGAGGAGGTTTTTTGCTGTGATACTCTGAATAGCTTTTATATTTTCATCATTATATATATTGCAGGGTGCTGATGGCAAAGCTCGAATTGTAGTGATCAATTCCGATTCGAATCTTGAATCCAAGAAAGGCGAAATTATTGAAGCGGAAGATGAAACTGAGGTTTATTACTAGTTTTTTTTTTTTAAAATGATTTTCTTTGATATCCAGCGGATTCACGGCTAATTTCGAATCGAAATTTATAGGAATTCTATTGGGTCGGAGTTTATATCAGTTAACCTCTAAAGCTACAGCCTTAATTTTTCAGTGGAAAAATTAGTTTTTTTGCGTTTCGTAAACTCATTTGGCGTGTGACTGGTTCGATTAATTTGGAGAAATCAGAAAAATGCTCTCCCTCTCCCAATTTAAGGTTAAAAGAAAAATATAAGAAATATGATGGAAAAGTATAAGAAATGATGATGAAAAAAAGAAAGAAAGGAAGTATGGAAAAAATGAGAATTTTTAAAGTGGCTAAGAAATGTTTCGGTCCATTAAGTTGTATACATTTCTTACCGTTACTACAGTCATTTTTATGTTCCACAGTGAAATTTATGCAAAAATTTTGATTTTTAACTTAATCGCCTCCCTTTACTAATGCTTTCAATTTTTAGCCAATATTAGATGATTTTGACATCGAAAAGGCAGCATCGTCGTTGATTGCAAAAGGCAGACAGCTTCCTCAAACGGATCATTCAAAGGCGAGTGCATTTTTTTATGGTTTATTTTTTTACAACGGAAAAAAGATCCATTTGGCGGTTTCTTGCGGTTTTTGCTTGATTTTTATCTTTGCTTTTTTCTTGGGCGAATGAGAGGCGGGGAGGAGGAGAGGAGGGGAGGGGGGAAAAGAGTGATTCAGATGGATTTTGGCCTCCTTTTTAGAGCATTTTTGAGAAATTTCACAGATTTTTCCACTTTTGTTTCAGGTGTATTATCGGCCATTTCGTAAGAATTTCTATGTTGAAACTGCTGAGCTGGCGAAAATGAGCAAGAAGGAAGTGGATGAATACAGAGAGGAGCTGGATATTCGAGTACGTGGTAAAAACTGTCCGAAGCCAGTTCGATCGTGGGCACAGTGCGGCGTGGAATGGAAAATTCTGAACACACTGAAGAAGTTAGCAGCTTTTCTAAGGAGCAGAATTTGCAGCTAAGGGATGAAATACAGGCAGATCAGCTTCTACATATTTCTCTTGACTTTTCTTCAGAGATTGACAGGGCTATCAGAAGCGATCTGTAGTTTATTCTTTATCACATAAATTCTTAATGTATTGTATTATTGAAACCTAAAATTCCAACATTTATTGGAATTTTAGGTTCGAGTATAAAAAG